GGGGAAATTCACCAAAATCTTAGAATAAAAACAATCGCAACTTCATATTCTATAAAAGATCTCTGAACCATCTACAATAACACGAACAACGTAGAAGATTGAGCAACAAAACCATAAAACCTAGAATCGACTACGAAACCAACTTGAAAACTCATATGATACAGGCGTACGCAAAACGTTGAGAGATGAAGATTTCGCAAGCAAAAACTAGGTTTTTTTACTTCTCATCTCCGCTCCGTGAATCATCGACGAAATCATTCTTAACCTGTTGTTACCCAGTTTTTTCTTCCACAATTTCCTAGGTTTGGAAAAGATTAGGGTTTTCAGAGCGAGAAAGAAGACGAAGAGAAGATGTTCGAGATTGAAGAGAGGTGATATGTTTTCTGAATGTTAGAAAAGAAAAAGAAAAAAAAACACATGTCATGCATAGAGGCCAACCATGTGTCAGACGCTGAAGAGTGCTAGCCTCTTTTTATATTATAGGTTACAATGTAATTATAGTTTAACATTAGTTTATTTTCTTGATATTTTTAAAAACTGTTAGAAAATCAAATATTTTGAAATGAAAAAAGTAATTCTTAATGTTTAATTCTCCCAATTTTATTCCTCTAATTGTTCTACATTTTGCACCCTTAGAATTTTTAAAAAAAACTTATAATATCTCTCCTATAAAATTGTATTTGAATTCTTTTAAATTGAAACATTATAATCCCTAAGTTAAATGAATGGGAAAAGAAATCGGAATAATAGTACTCTCTCCCTAAAACCTTGATCTAAAGAAGAGTTCTTCGGTTGTAGATTCGGCCGATGATTGTGGCTTTCTTTAGCTACGATCATCCGATCCGGTTTGTATATATTTAGGATACTGTTTTATGTTTTTAGGCTTAGATCTAGTTTTCAGATTCTCGGATTTAGCTCTGGCTACGCCCGGTTTTTTCTTCCGACCTTGTTCGGCTTGTTTAGTTTTGATTTTTTAAAATCCAATCCCATTTCTTTGTTCCAACCCGTCGTTTACTCTCTGATTCTTTCCATGCTTGAGGAGTAATATCTTTGTTGCTTTACTCTTGCGAAAGATGATGAGCAAGGATCCAAGATTACATCATATGTTGGGTGTGGTCGGCAACGAAGCTTCCTAGAATGGCTGATTTCAGAGAGATTTAATTGTTAATTTGGTCGACGGATTGATACAGAGATTATGAGATCGGTGGAGGAGGGAAGAAGTGCATCATCTGGAGATTAATTAGCGGCTGCTGATTGATTATGATGGTGGCTTACAACAACGACGGCGGAGGTTCACGGCTGAACATCTAGATTTCTTTAGGTTAGAGTATTGGACCGTTTTGTTGTAATTTCTCATTTGTTTTCTCCTCCAGCCCATTGGGCTTTTTCAATATATTGAGTTGAATGGAAAAGGAAAAAAAGAAAAGGAGGAATAAATTAATCGGGAAACAACCGACTAAAAAAGAAAAGAGACAGGGGTATGATTGTCATTTCGGCGACGGTATTATCTTTTAAACCCTAGATTTGTTCTGGTGTCGCTTCGGCACTATAAATAAATCGAATGCTTGGATTTTTTTTTATTATCGTGCAAGGTAAACGTTTCATAGGCTTTAAACGAAGATCTGTTTGCTTATTCTTCCGCATACACATATTTGATCTGTTTTCGTTCTTCAACTCTTTCAGATCGTTTAGTCTCCAATCATCTCACCATGTCCTCGTTGAAGAAGAAAAACGAATTCGCCTGTAAGTTGTGTGTTTTTCTAGATTTCGATTTGATCGATCTTGTCAAAGCAAATTAATGGAATTCTGGTTGTTTTCTCAGAGGTTGAGACATTCGTCTTCTGGGACATGTATGACGGAGATACTGGGAATGGGTGCAGGATCCCTAGCGGTCTCGATCTTGAAACTGTTTGTCGGAACATCAAATCAGCCCTCCGAGAGGAAGGTTATCTCGGTAACGTGTCAATCACTGCTTATGGTACCAAGGACCATGTCGGGGACAACATTCTCCCCGACGGATTCACCTTGAAACCTCATGGTAAAAAATTTCACGTTCTTTCTATTTTCGCGATAATATCCTTATAACTTTTAGTATATGGTTTTTCAGAAACTGGCAGCCTAGTTATTGCCATTACAGCCTGCATGCATTTTTGTGCATTAAAACGTCGCTTCCGGAAAACAAATTTGATGCTTATCACAGGGGAGGACATGGATTGTTACAGTCTTCCTCTGACGTTTTTCTCAGAACATGAGGATTACAATGCTCTTGTAGCACTTCCACAGACACCATCACGCGAGCTTACTCGTACTGTGGCGGCAGTGTGGCGTTGGGGAAGGCTATCCACCGGAGAAAAGCCATTCTACAGCATTAACAATATCTGGACTAGGTTTGAAGCAAGATGCCCAACCCCTGAAGACCTTGTTGGAGTCCGTTGGCACCCTCGTACGGCTGCTGCTCCTGCTTGTGGCGAAACCTCACAAGTTTCTCAGTCTTCGGTTCTGCCTAGTAGAAGGCAAAAGCAACGTGAAAGGCAACGCCGTGCCAAACTTCAACATGATTGCCTTTCCCAATGAGTGATCTCTCTCTATCTTTGGCAACGACGGTTTTTTCTTTGTATATTCTTTCTTGCAACTATGAACGACAGTATTTGGTTTCTCTTCTACTTTACAACAGTCCGTCTTTCGAAAACTTTTCAATTTTGATTATAAATAAGAAACACAATGAAGCCACTTGTAATATTTTTCAAAGATTCACGTCAAATTCACCCGCCGTCGAAGTAAAAAGAGGCTTAATTTAAGAGTTTCATAAGTCGAGAAAAGCGAACTTTTCAATTTTGATTATAAATAAGAAACACAATGAAGAAAAGAGAACTTTCTCAGACATAGGGGGTATGTTTGCAAATATTATTATCTTTAATAGCTCAATCTATGCGCAGATAACACACATCCAGAGATTCTCCGTTGTTTTGACAGTATCGACAGACCTGAAACAGAAAAACAAACACCCCATAAAGACGCATGAAATTGACACAAGATTAAAAATAGCATGGAAACGAGAAACCGAACCATACTGGGCAAGAAGAATCTGGCCAATTAGAGATACATGAACAATGGAAGGAATGATTGCACATGGTTGTGAGAGTGCCACCTGTGTCTTGGTCCAATCTCTCTGAAACATAAGCATGTGTTAAACAAGGTTTAGAGCCTACCTAAACTAAACTTAGTCAACAAACGACACCAGAGATCTTTTCCCTCAATCAAGAACCAAAGTAGGACTCAAATTCACCTCCTTGCTCTCATCAAACTCATGATCCTCACATTGACAACACATTTAACCAAAGAGAGGATCATCTTCATTTGAGAACAATTCTTTAACCTGCTCTACCTCTCTCTCTCCTTGTGCAAACATTATTCCATTGTTGCATTCTTAATTAGACCATGAGTAATATATAACATCCGGTTTACTCCATTCGGTTCAATTTAATATTTGGTTTGGTTCCATTTTCCGGTTTAATTATCACACGCTTAAATACTCAGGGATGCATGGTTATACTTAGACCACAAAATATTCACATTCGATGTAAACATTTGCTTATATGATTAGATATATGAAATCATGTCACATATTTAGTTTCCGTTTATGTATATATTGTATTCCTAATTTTATTGTGATTGGTATTACACTTTGTATTATATATATAGAGGGAATTATCACCTCTTTTATTATATTCTCATCCAAAGAAACAAAAAGAAGACGACACATGACCGAGATGTCATGGAGACGTTACTAATTTCTTACCAAAGACTACGACTAAACCTTTCTTCTGCTCCATCGAAGCGCGGCCATCACTGATCCTAATAGGTTTCGGGACCTTACCAAAGACCTCAGCTCAATCTTCTGCTCCAATATTGCTGTGAAACCAACAAGCTTTCCATAGACCCAATCTACTATGTGATCCATCATATTTTTGTACGATCCATCTTTATATTGGTAATGGCAGTTTACAAATGAATAATGTTTCTTTTGAATGTCAATTCTAATCATTCTGAGGCTTTATGTTCATTACAAAGTTTAATTAAGGAAATGAAATGGTTGGTAACATTTTATAGTTTTAAAAAAACAGATGATCAAAGTTTGTGATCATATTTGTTGATGATTGCCAAGTCTTATCATTATGAGGCATGCAGTTCCGGTTCACGTGATTGGACCGCATTATAGATGCAAAAGAAGCAGAGCAAATAATAGATAACAAGAGTTGATACGTTTTAGAGCAGCATGCATTGCGTCCTAGAATCAATTTATCACCACAAAATTTGTTACAAGGCTGATGGGGTTCCGTTACTAATCATACCCCATTGTTCTTCAGACTCGTTCCCATTAACTAGCACCACACCATCTCTGAAGCTAATGAAATCTGAAAGTTACCTTGTCTCTGAAGCTCTTTCTTCAACGGACAGGGCGACTTGCCAGTCCTCAAAGAGACTGGGATACTCTTCAGTATCAGCCAGAGATTCAGCAGCCGCCTTTGGACTTCTCTATACGCAGATTAACAGAGGATCAAGAAAAGCTGTGGATATCTCAACAAGCAAGGTTTGATATTTAATCAGAAGATTGCATAGGAAATGTCCCACACAAACCTTGGTCAAATCGTTTCGCCACAATGCCACTATTTCAGAGACCTTGCTTGGAAGGTAGGATCGTGAGCGCCTTCAGGTATCCTATTACTGTAACCAGACAAATATCAGTATAGGCGTAACTAGTTGCAGGAATATACGTTTCCAATGTAAGAAACAGTGACAGTGTACCTTTCCACCAACAGATGCAGACAGTCTTCTACTCGACCCAACGTGAACAAGCAAAGAAAAGTAACATTATTTTTTCCTTTGTTCTTTAGCTAATGCTGCCAGCTTTGTCAATCCTTCTACATCTCCCAAGGAAGAATAGAGCAGCAACAGACCACTCAAATCCTTAGCATGCCTAATAAAGTTGAGAGTTTGAGAGTTTTATGTTCATGACAAAGTTGAGTCGATCAACATTAATAATACAAATCATGAAGTTTTGTTTTCATATCTTTGATTACCAATTCCTATCATTCTTTCGAGGCGGTTAGTTAGGATGGTTAGACCGCACTTCAAACCACCAGAACTCTGTTCACAATACTTATAACGAAACTAACCTTTATATTGATAAGTAGTATTTTCATCTATCCATCGAACTGAATACATTTGTTTAACCCAGTGAGTTCTTATCAACAATATCTACAAGACGAGGAAATCAAAGAGTACCGAAAAACCTTAGTAGAGGAAGACCTCTTCAGGCTGGGGAACAACTTCTTGCTGCAAACTTGTACTACCAAACAGAAAAGAGTAAACATGTCAACTGTTTTTTTTTTTATTGGACCAGACATGTCAAAGTGTTTTTATATGAAAGCTAATGAAGAAGTGGAGTGGCTGTTACATTTTGTTGACTGTACTTCTTTCTGACTGCAACTACATCAGCTGAGGGAATCTCATGACAAAGCTGAAGAAGATTCTTAACGCATGCTTCCAAATGTTTAGCCCTGTAAGATGTGTAATGCTCTAATGTAGCATTCTGCAGAACCTCAAATTTAACAGGTTTTATTAGAACGATAAGTTGAAAAGCTAAGATGTACTCGAGAATATAGAAATATACAAATTCAGATTTTTGGTCATACCCATGTATTCTTGAAAGGTGTGGTCTGTATTGTGCCAAGAAAACTGCAGAGCCTGCGATGAGTCAAGGAGCGTATCCAAGCATAGCGTAATCTAAGAGAGATAACAACATGATCTGATTATTCCAATACAGACTCACTATCTACCTACATTATACAATGAATATACATCTCGATTCATAGAAGAGTTCACACTAATTAAACTTCCACAAAAGATAGACCATTTACTCATCTAAACGATCAATTGGAGAAAACAGAACAAATTCCATAGCTCACACACACAATCCAAGCAAAGATAAATGGTAGAAAAGACATCTTTGTAACTCAGAGGCGAATTCTTAGCACGGCTTGATCTCCTGACCTCCGTGAATTCCACCGGAATATGCTGCGTCCTTGGCTTAGCCTACATTCCCAATTAAACAAAAATGGATTTGATTTCAGAAAACAGGAATTATGAAATGAAAAGAACAGAGCAATGTTACGATTTGTAATGATGAACTCAAAAGATGAACCTTTTTATTTATCAAACAAAGAGGAATACAATTAGAGAGATCCCATGGATCCTCTCTCTCACTCAACAAAGAAGGATCAAACAAAATGAAAATGACGAATCAGAGAAGGTCGGATTTGCTCACCGGCGATGGTTTTCCGATTTGCGATTCGGAGAAATGGAAATGAGGAAGCTCGATTTTGTTGAAACAAAAATATCGGGCTTGGCCCACAACAGTTTTGTTTTTCTTTCTTCCTTCACTGGGAATATTTACAAATGAATATGCACTATATATTCTGTGATATGTCAC